TCCAGGCGATGGGGGTTCGATTCCCGGTCAGGGCACATGCCCGGGTTATGGGCTCGATCAGTGACTCTCTCATCATTGATGTTTCTATCTCTCTCCTTCTCCTTTCCTCTCTCTGAAATCAATAAAGATATATTTAATAAATAAATAAAAATTTTAAAAATTAAAAATATCTACTTATAAGCAAATCTATAAGAAAAATAAACAAAACGAACCAAGCAAATCACATATTTTTGAAAAGTGCCTACTCCTCAAGAAGTCCCTCAAGCAGGTATTCATTGTTATCATAGGAGATGACAGCTCTGTGCCTGTCCTTGCCCCTGAAGACCTTCCAGTGGAACAATAGAGCAATAGGGGAAGACAGTGATGTAATAATGATCCTGACCTGTGCAGCAGGCCTAGGCTCATGTACTGGTTTGTGTCTTAGATTTTAACAAAAAAGATTTTTAAAAATTATTTAAAAACTTAAATAGAAAAATGTTTATAGAATAAGGGTATAAAGAAAAATTATTTCTGGTCCTTGCTGGGTGCTCAGTTGGTTGGAGTATTGTCCTGCACACCAAAAGATTGTGGGTTTGATTTCTGGTCAGGCACATACCCAGGTTGTGAGTCCCATTCCCAGTTGGGGTGCGTACAGGAGGCAGCCGATGTATGTTTCCCTCTCACATCAATGTCTCTTTCTCTCTCTCTCTCTCTCTCTAAAATGAATAAACATATCCTCGGGTGAGGATTAAAATATATATATATATTTTTGTACAGCTATACAATGTGTTTGTGTTTTAAGCTAAGTGTTATGAGAGTCAAAAAATTAAATTAAAATTTATAAAGTAAAAAACAGTAAGCTAAGGTTAATTTATTATTAAAGAAAGAAAAATTTTAAATAAACTTAGTATAGCCTAAGTGTACAGTGCTTATCAAGTCTACAGTAGTGTACAGTAATGTCCTAGGCCTTCACATTCACTAACCAATCACTCACTCACTCCTCACCGAAAGCAACTTCCAGTCCTGCAAGCCCCATTTATGGTAAGTGCCCTATACCGCTGTACCGTTTTTTTATTTTTATAGTATATCTTTTCTATGTTTAGATACACAAACACTATTATGTAACAATTGCCTACAGTATCAGTAATGTAACATCCTATATAGGCTTGTAGCCTAGGAGCAGTAGGCAATGCCATGTAATCTAGGTGTGTAATAGGCTGTACCATCTAGGCTTGTGCAAGCGCACTCTGATGAAATCACCTAACCATACATTTCTCAGAACTTTTCCCCTATGTTAAGTCAAATGACATGTGACTGTATTTGCAGAAAAGCAAGGTGGAGTTGAGTTGAAGAGGCATTCAGGAGTCCACAGCTGAGGCTGTATATATTACTGCTTATCCCCCTGTATTCCACTAAGAGGGGCCCCAAATCAGCTGTGCCTCGCCCTGAGTGATGAAGAAAACACTGAGAAGAAATTAGGAGACCTAGATTCTGGTTCCACAGCCATGGCCTTGGGATGTCACTCAGCCCCCTTGAGTCAGTAACTAGAGGGTGGCAGGCCAGGTCATCTCTAAGATCTCCAACTCTGAAATTCTAAAACTTAGAGCATGGGGTGGAAGGTGATTAGTAAACCTGAAAACATCTTCAGTCTGCCCTGGAGTTGAACAAAACAAAACCAAGGGACAAAAGAAGTGAGATTCCACCAAGTTTCAGTGGAGCAACTGTAAATGCATCACACATACTCCTCACTCCTGGGCAACTAGAACTATGCTTCTGCCACGTCACTGGGCTTCTTCTGCCTGCCTTCTCCAAATCAGAAGTTCAGCCTTGCAGGTCAGCCAGGAGTCCCGTGCAGAGGTTTGGACTGGGGAAACAAGAGCTCTCGCGCTCTCCCTTCATTGCCCCCTAAGTCTACTTGGGATGCCTTCCCAGAAGAGACCCTGAAGGGTACAGAAAGCAGAAGGCATAGGGACCTTGGCTGTGGAGCCACTGCACTGCAGTAAGCCAGCCTAGAAAGTCTCCTGCCTATGTCCTGAAGTCTGCCTCAGTAGAGTCCCTTGAGTGGATGTCTGCCTGAGAGGCTCTTCCCCTGACCTGGCCTGCCTACCAAGTCCACTCAGGAACCGGAGGCCTGCAGGAGACTGCATTTCCCAACAAGGGAATGAAGAGAGGCTTTGATAGCGGCGTGGAACCAGAGCCTCGGAGACTTCAAGTAGCCACTAGGGGGCTCTCGGTCTCCGTGGCTGCTGGTGCCCTCTTGTGGGGATTGGCAGGAAAGAAGCTGCAGAAGAGAGGGGAGATAAGATTTCCCAGGGAGACAAATTAATAACAGTTATCATTACAAAAAAACATTATAGCAATATTTATTATTACATATTTCTTATCATTTTGACATGTGTACTTACCACTCTGTGCCCAGCACTCTTCTAAAGTGCTTTACATGCAATGGGGGGGTGAGGGACGGACATCTGTAATACTTTCAACAATAAAGAAATTTAGAAAATAAATAAATACAGTGCTTTATATGTGTTAATATATTTAATTCACACATTTGCCTATAATACAAGCATTATTGTTATCTCCATTTTGACGATGAGAAAACTAAGCACAGAATGTTTAAGGTAGGTGCCATGGCCAGACAGCAGACCAGAATTCTCAGTTTAAGGGGTCTGGCTTCAGAACATCTTCTTTAACAATTCTGAAACTAAGTCCCATTTTCCAGGTTGCCAGGTAAAATACAGTATGCTCATTTAAATTATAATTGCAGATAAACAACAAATAATTTGTTAGCATAAACATATCCCATGAAATATTTGGGTCATACTTAATACCAACAATTATTTGTTGTTTGTCTGAAATTCTAATTTAACTGGGTGTCTTGTATTTCTATTTACTAAATCTGGTCATCCTAATTTACAAGGCACATTTCTGTCAGAGGCCATCACATATATTACCTCCCAGGAAGCCTCTCAGGTGCCCCAGGATGCCCTCTCCCCAGCCTTTCCCAATACCCTCCCCGCTTTTCTTTTTTTTTTCAGATAGAGAAACCGAGACAGAGGCCTGAAATGACTAGCTGTGGTTACAGGACATAACAAGTGGCAGAGCTGGGGCCTGAACCCATGTTCTCCAGCAGAAACCAACGCATGTTTTCCTACTTTAACAGGAGAGGAAAGTGAAGAGCAGTGATCGTCCCGTGGAAATCTCCCTTCCTGGCATCTCCTTAGCCTTGCTCTGCTCTGTGGAAGAGTTGCAGGCACCTCCTTATGTAGAAAAAAAACAGGGAGAGACTTTCTGAGTAGGGACAGTAGCAGAGGAATGGAGACAGTGCTTTAGCTCTGTGCCTGGCCCCTCTAGGGAGGCAGGAAGGAGACTGCTCCAGGCCCTAGGGAGCTGGCTGTGAGGTTCGAGTAACTACCTGCTCAGGGGCCCCTGAGGCTCCCCAAGACTGTTCACCTGCTGCTCTGTGCACTGACAGCACCAAGCTGAGCTGCCGAGGTTGCTGAGTGCTGCTAAAACAGTCCTGGCGGCCAAAAGGCAATAGAAGGAATCTAAGAAACAAGGACCCAGGGAGCCCCCCCCATCTCCCTGTTGCCCTTTGGGAGCATGGTACTTCTGTCCAGAGGGAACACCCTTTGCATTTTTCTCTCTTGACTCTGCTGATCTGCTCCCACCCCAAATACCTGTGCCCTTCTTTCCCCACAGATAGAAAGTCCCCTGCCCCCCTTCTCACCCTGGCTGACTGACTCTAATAAGGCAGTAGTCAAGGGAGTTTCTGGGCTGGGACCCCCTCTGGGGTGAAGGCTGGGGTGCCCTGCTGGTATGTGCCCCAACAGGTTTTTCTCTGTCAGCCTGAAATCAGCATGGAGCCTGTCTGACCTGCCCTCCCCCCCACCAAGGAGCAGGAGCCAGAAGCAGAGGCAGAGCTAGGTCAGAAGCTGGACTTAGAGACTGGGCTTCTGTGGTCCCACCTGGCCCCACTGGGAAAGCAGTGCACAAAGCCTCCTGTGTCCGGGGCTGAGCTACTGAGAGGCCCAGCAGAGTTCCCACGCGTGGCCTGAGGCCCAGTTCCTGGGAGGAGAGATGCTCGGGAGGGGAGGTGTTTGCCTGTGGGACCCGGTACAGCCTGGTCCTCTCCCACGTTTGGGAGGGGCCAGAGCCGGAGACAACAGCTGGGCTGGTCTGCTAGAGAGGTCATCTGACTGGCTGCTCCACCTGGCTGGCTGTACACGCCCCCCCTGTCCTCCACCAGGCTACACAGGAGCCAGTGCTCACACCTGCTCATACCAGGCTGTGACGACACCCACCTCACCCCCAGCACCTCTGGGTAAGCACTGGACCTGGGCCCCCAGGCTGGGGGGAAGGGGCTTGTGGATCTCCTGGGGGAGGGAGAAAGGAGTTTTCCTTCTCAGTGTGAGTACCTGCTCCCTGGTCCAGGCACCCATGTACCCACAAGACCACAAACACATCAGTTCAGAAATTGCACCTGCTGACCTAGAAACCCCAGCCGGAGACTCCAAGGGTGAAAGGCAGAGAGCAGGTAGGCAGCTTGGTGGGCTGGGCTGAAGCAGGAATGGCACTGTTGGAAGTTAGCTCCCACCCTGCATATTGCTCCTGCCAGCTTCCCTCACCTTTACTCACTGCCCCAGGAACACCCGGTCAGGCCACTGAAGCAAGGGGACTTGGACCTCAGAATGGGGTCATCCACATCAGGCCAAGGCTGGGATCAGGGGACCAGCCCTGGAGTCAGGGAGGGCTCGTTCGACGCCAGTTCTGGCAGCATCTCTGGTCAACCCTTGTTTCCTGGAGGAGGGTGAGAGGTGGGGAAGGTGGGGGGCTCCCCTCTCACCCCTCCACTTGGGCTCCCCAAACTGCCAAGCAGGTTAAAGTCCTCTTTTTGTGCAACAAGGGAAGTGGACAGGCAGGGGAGCCCAGGTTTCAGGTCCTAGGGGTCATAGAGAGGCCCAGAAGGGCCAGAAGCTCACCTCAGTTGGCTGCTGGTTCCCAGGGCAGCCAGTTGCACCATGTCTGTGACCAGCGAGAAGATGGGGCCATCCCTGACCCAGGAGATCCTCAGCCACCTGGGTCTTGCCAACAAGGTAGGGGCTCTTGATAGGGGTCATTTTTACTCTATCAACTCAAGGTGTGAGGGCGCTGGGAGCGGGGAAACCGAGAGCAGGCCCTGAGGTCCTGTCAAGAGCCCGGCTGGGGTACTGGGGAGGCCATGGGCAGACCTGTGATGCCTCCTTGCTCTTCTAGGCTGCAGCTTGGGGGACCCTGGGCACCCTCAGGACCTTCTTGAGCTTTAGTGTCGACAAGGACGTGCAGAGGCTGCTGAGGGCCATCGCAGGCCAAGGTGAGCCCCTTTCCGTCTGCACTTGGGGGTCGACCTTGTTGAAGCCAGTCTGTAGACCAGGAAAGAGCCAGGAGGGAGGAAATGACAGCCTCAATGAACGTTTGTGGAATGCCTTAATTCCTGTATGTCAGGTGCCACAGTGGGTGTGTCATAGCCATTCTCACAACACCCTGTGAGCTAAGTCTCATTATTTCTATTATACAGATGAGGAAACTGGGGCTCAGGGAGGTGAAGAGGCTTTCCCAAGGCCACACAGCTCATAATAGCAGAGCTCAAATCCTAATCCAAGCCTGCTGATGCCTAAAAGCCATTTCCCTCCCACACCTTTGCCTAAATTTGGGTAGGATTTGCATGCCGTTTTGGTATCTTAATTGCATTTTCTTTTGAAACCAAATGGAAGTGGGGGTGATAAGGCCCCTGCTCCTGTCCTTCCAGCCCTTTTCTGGGATCTTGTTCTACCCCCTTGGGGGGCCTCAAGTCTGTGAGGAGTAAGGGGATCCTAACCCTGTACAGACCCTGATTGGCGTCTTTCCAGCATATAGCCCGGCCCCTCACCTTGATCCTTGATTCAGGTGTGGACCGCATTGCCATTGTGGACGTGCTGACCAATCGGAGCAGAGAGCAAAGGCAGCTCATCTCTCGAGCTTTCCAGGAGCGCACCCAACAGGTAAGACCACTAGGACTTCCCAGGAGCAGTGAGCTGGGGTGAGAAGGCCCTGGAAGACTTAGGGGACAGCAATAGCAGGTCAGCCCCTGCCCCCTGGTGAAATGGGGAGGGGGGTGCTTCAGGCCTGAGATAAAAACCAGCCAATATTCCCAAACCTCCCCACACATCTGGGGCCTCCCCCTCACACTGCTCGTCTGCCATGGGGACCACCTGTAGGACCTGCTGAAGTCCCTGGAGGCAGCGCTCTCCGGCAACCTTGAGAGGATTGTGGTAGCCCTGCTGCGGCCGGCTGCCCATTTGGATGCTCAGGAATTGAGGACGGCCTTGAAGGTACCGGGACAGGAGGCCTGATGGGGTGTCTGGGAAGTTAGGTCACCACTGAGGAAAGGAGGCTGAGTGGCACCTTTGCCCACCGGAGGAACAAACTTGGCAGAGGCCCCCTTCGAGCATCCCATATTGACCCTTAGAAGGACATGTCACCAGCACCTGCTCTCTGCCATCCTAATGACACGGTCCAGTCTTAGAGTGGCCTCCTGGTTTCTTGTAGGACTCGGGTTCTGCTGGGGATGTGGTTGTGGAAATTCTTGCTACCCGCACCCCACCCCAGCTGCAGGAGTGCCTGGCAGTCTACAGACACGGTAAGGGCATGAGGGGGGTCCAGGCGCTGGAGCCGGATCTGAGGGACAGTTCTCTCCTCTCCTGCACCCTGTCTGGACGAGCCCTCTGGGAGCCTGTCTGCCCAAGTTCTGCTGCCTGGGGCTCTCTGCTCCCTTCTCCCCCCACCCAGTGCTCAGTCTCCCCAGGGAGACAGCCAGATAGGATCATTAAAGAAAGAAGCAATGATTAACCATCTTAGTCTGGGACTCCAGGGCAGATTCCAAGGTAATGACAACGCTGGGCACTGTGACAGTCCCAAGGGTACCCATGTCATCTCAGCCCGGTGCTCATTCTGCCATCGCAGGCCGAGTTGAACCGTGCTGCAGCCAGGGGGAAAGGTGGGGACCTGCTCTCTAAGTCGTGGGTGTCGCTTCTCAGGCTCCCGGCTGCTGGCCTCGCTGGGCTGCCACCTCCCTCACCCACTAGTTGAGCAGAAGGTTTTTCCCATGTTCATCTTAGCCCCACCCCCTTCCTTCCTCTCTTTCCTTTTCCTTCTTTCTTTCTTCTTTCTTTCTTTCTTTCTTTCTTTCTTTCTTTCTTTCTTTCTTTCTTTCTTTCTTTCTTTCTTTCTTTCTT